CTAATCGACGCACTTCATGGCGCTAAACCTAATCTGCGCACTTCATGGCGCTAAACCTAATCCACGCACTTCATGGCGTATGTAAGTGGCTACGTAGTGCCTAAGCTATTACTTACTAACCATTAGCTAGAGTGATTGAGATCGAAATTATCTCAATCTAATTTCTGCAACCCTAAATTGCAAACCAGTGCAGCCAATGCTCGCTGGTTTTAATCGCGAACACGTTGAAGTTCGCGCAGGTCGTTTTCGAACTCGAACATGTTGGAGGTTCAAGGCGGCGCATCAGAAAAGACCATCCAAATCGAACATGTTCGGCCCGAACTCGAACACGTTCGGGTTGAACACTTTCAGCAAAAAATTTCGAGTCGAACCAAATAGGTGTTCGAAAATCTGCTCACAATTCACAACTGTTTTCCTGCATTCCTGTGCAAGTTCCAGAGCACACATGCAGTGGCCTGTACATGAGCAAATGAATGCGTGCTTTCCTATGTTTTTGTTTCAGTATTCCCCTGCCATGCCCTATGCCTCATTCAGGAATTTTGGAAACAACCATTTCACAGGAACCTTCCCAGATTTTATTATGCGCCAGGAGTTCCTTTCTATCCTGTAAGACCATCCACTCGTGGCCTTGAACAAAAGCGAGGTGCACTAAAGGAGCAAAAACACAAGCAAAACAAAGTGCCGAGCCGAGCCGGCACGCTGTCGTTTGGATTGAATCCAGCCGAACTGCACAGAGGAGCCTTTTATTCATGCCTGTGATCCATCCATGCGTGACCTCACTCAAACAAAGGCAGGTTGCACTGATGAAGTAATTGCTGCCATTTCTTGCAGTACTTCCAACAGCAACTACCTGAACAACTCGAATGGCAATCGCAGTCAAAATGGCCATGGCATGGCAGGAACTTGGCCAACAACAGTTTCACAGGGACTATCCCCCGCGAATTGACCAAGCTTGTCTACCTGAGTGGCATGTAAGTTGCACTGCTGCAAGCTGTAGCAGGGTTGAGGATCTGTTTAGCCTTGTGCTTGAATATCTGAGGTAAATTTGAGTCTCTTGATACTATTGTGCAGATATCTCAGCAGCAACAATTTCCATGGAACCATCCCGTCCGGCCTACTTCGGCTACCCAACTTGTACTGGCTGTAAGTAGCCCCAGTACACTTGTTTCAGAAGATTCTTTTCATTCCACCTTGTCTTTCTCTCAATGAAAGAAAGGGTGAAGGTCTGAGTATGGATACAAAAGTAGATACTATTATCCCTGATATGTCAAATGGTATTTTGCAAGTACTGTGCTCCACTGCCAAACACCACATCAGGAGGTTGCATGCTACCTGCTTTGGATGTTTCTACCTGCACCTCTCAAGCATCCCTCAAGATTGTTGTCGGCCTAGCCGATGCCACGGTGCATTCATGTGTGATGAGTCAATTTTTGAGTGCCAAAGCACATGAATGAATGCATTTGAGTTGACTCATAAGCCGTTTCGTAGAGGTCACAATGCATTCATGTGCTTTGGTTGGCAGTATGCTTGGTTTTCCAACTGCTGCATCCAGCCTTCCCTTTAATTTCCGAACGCAGGGATCTATTCAACAACTCTCTTTCTGGGGAACTCCCACGGACTCTCACAGTCTCACATTCTCTTCGCATGCTGTAAGAAGAACCACTGTGTGCTGCCACCACTGTGTGTGTCGCCACCATTGTGTGTGCCTGGTGCAATACTGTCTCTTCGTGGTTAACTTTCATGCCCCTGGAATCTTCGTCTCCCTTTGAATTGGGCAGTGGTCTGGGAGGAAATGACTTCACGGGCTCCTTACCAGACTTCTCACGTTGGAACGTCAGCTGTGAACAGATGTAATTAAGCCTTCTCACGCTCTTTTCCTCCTTTTCCCACTCTAAACAACGCTTGCTCAATCTTGGCCTTAGCACCACCAGGGTGCAAAATTGTGCCGTTTTATTTCATATTTTGGGCGAAAAAATCACGTACGATGTTTCACCCAACTTTTGATAATTTTGGTCTGGAAAAGTATTGTATCTTGGTGAAAAACTTCGACTGAAATTTTCAAATAATATTAATAAAAAAAAACAAGATATAAATTGTCAAAAGTCGATGGATGCAAATCATACTCGCATTCCGTTGCCAGATCCGTGCAGAGCGTGGGTGAAAGCAGGTTTCTGTACCTGACCCGGGGGCTTGCCAGGCTTGTCCCGGTCCTTTGGGTCGGGTTTATGGAAACCCCAACCCGGGAAGAATGGAGCTGACCCGACCCAGTACCCGCCCGGCTGGCCCAAATCGGGCCAGGCCGGGTTGGTTCAAATGCTCATTTTTGCATATAGTGCATTGCACCCATAGTAAGCTGTTGCGTTCACCCCACTCACGAGAGGCTATCTCGCTGCTGCCTCGCCTGTGTTGTGGCGCAGAAATCTCAGCGGCAACAACTTCACAGGGTCGATCCCCGACTCCATCTCCACCCTCACCAACCTCATTGGCATGTGAGGCTTCTCTTCTTGTGCCACAACAAGCCATAATGCCTGCCATGAGCACATACTCATGGAGCTATTCCCATCTGAACAAGGTGGGATGTCGTGTACAAAAGTCACCGTCGAACCTTTGTAGTGGCACGCAGCCAATGGCAGGAGAAAGGTAGCAGTGGCAGCCTATGCGCACACGCATCTACATATGCTTGATTTGCACTTCCAACCAATGTACCCCGTTGCTATTCCCTGCTCTGCAGTTTTCTCAACAACAACCTGCTAACTGGCACCATCCCTTCAGCCATCTTCACCATGAGGAATCTGACATACATGTAAGCCTCATGTGATTAGGGATCCCCTTTCTAAGTGCCCATCACATGTTCCTACCTCTGCCCGGTGGTACTCCTGCACCAGCCTGCACTCCTCTTGCATTCGCTGCTTCTCATTGGAATATCTCCCTGCCATAGCTCTTGCTCTTCCGCTACTTCAGCTATTGCTCTTCAGCTACTCCTTGCTGTCTCCCCCTGTCATTGCTATTACCCTTCAAATACATCGCTCTGTCCCCCTGCCATTGCCATTGCCCGCCAGCTACTTGGCCAACAACCATCTGAGTGGCAGTCTACCAGATGCCATCAGTCGACTGGAGAATCTTGAACAGATGTAAGGGTGCTATGTGCTTTCCTCATACATTTTTCAAACAACATACAGGCATCACAAGCACAAGCTTGTAATACGTCGGTTCTATACGAAACCTAGCAAACTTCCACGCCATGAAATGAATACAAAAGACCAAAACACGCAAACATCACCTGTGTCATCCCCACTCCACCCCCTGCTCTTTATGCAACCATTCCCGCCTTCATTCCTGCCACTGCTCTGTCTGCTCACCCAGCTGGTTGGACAACAACAAGATTGAAGGCCCTCTGCCAACTGTCCTGTGCTCGCTGCCCTGGCTGTGGCGCTTGTGAGCAACACATGATTTTTATTTATTTTTTTTTTTAAATTTAATGTTTTTGCCAGCCGAGGGACTTACTCCTCATGTTTTCATGATTTTGGAGATTGTTGAAATGTATGGGTGTAATAGCTGATGTATGGGATGTTTGGGGAAATAGTTTCACTTTTGTGTGTTTGCCATTCTGTATGGGTGTGTGACCCACGGTTCGGCATGTTGTGTGCTGTGCTGCTGGCAGCATGATCAGCAACAACTACCTCTATGGACCCCTGCCTGACTGCTTCTTTGACACGTGCATCAGCCACATGTGAGCCTACCGTGCATACACTATTCTCAGTACCATCCATGAGAGCTCACACTTTCGACGTGGGCATTGCACCGACAGTATTATGCACTCAGCTTTGACATCATTTTCTGGTAGGACATTTTGCAACCAAACATTCAATATCATTTTCTGCCCTCCATGATTCTCATGTGCTGCCCGCAGTGATGTGAGTGGCAACAGCCTGTATGGGCGCATCAACCGTGACTTTGAAAACATAGCGACGGATGGCAATGTCCTCATCAACTTGGCTCACAACTTCTTCTTTGGAGATGGGGTGCTCTTTGCTGCCGGCTGCAAGGCCTGCCCCACCGAAGCCAGCGAGCCCAACAACTTGTATATAAGGGACACCTCTGCATGGCAAAATTATGGTGGCAAGTGCGGCAATCTTGCTCAAAGTTCATCCGTGGCGCAGTCGGGCAAGACGGCGAGGGTGAGTCTGTCGGGCAACTGCCTAACCCTCACCCCAAGCAAGAAGTGCTCGTCCAACGCCGCCCAGCGCAGCAAGGCAGCCTGCCAGGCGTTTTGCAGCATGACTGACCTTGGCCCGTGTGACGGCCATGGGTCGTGTGTGCCGGCTGCCCCCGCCTCCCCCACCAACTTCACGTGCCTCTGTGATGCCGGGTACAGCACTGTCAACTCGGGCAACGGCTCCTCCACATGCGCCATCGTGCACTCCACCACCAGCACCACCACTGGTAACCCTCCACCACAACTGGTAACCCTTGATTCCTTCTTACAGCTCCATACTGCTACATCATTCCTATGTTCTGCACCAATAGCTACGTTTCAAGTAGCTTCTGCTATACACACGCGTATCACCGGCCCATTTCCATTCCTTGCCTTGGCAGTGTCATCTCTGTCTATGAGCCTGTGTTCCTAAAGACGTCTCAAAACTCATCTGGCTGTTGTCATTATCACTCCTTTCTTCGTCTCGACAACACCCCCTAACCGCCACAATTCTCCTTTACGTCCCATTCCGTGGCAGTGTCGTCTCTGTCAACGGGTGCCATAGTTGGCATTGTTCTGGGCTGCTTTGCTGGCTTCTCCCTGCTGGCCGCGGTGGTCGCATGGCTGCTGTGGCCCCGTGGACCGAGTGAGAGCCCCTCAACCCTTCTTCACTTCCATTCCATCTCCCTCATGCTCGCCTCTACTCTGCCCTCATGCTCGCCTCTACTCTGCCCTCATGCTCGCCTCTACTCTGCCCTCATGCTCGCCTCTACTCTGCCCTCATGCTCGCCTGTATTATTTTCTCATGCTCGCCTGTACTCTGCCCTCATGCTCGCCTCTACTCTGCCCTCATGCTCGCCTCTATTATTTTCTCATGCTCGCCTCTACTCTGCCCTCATGCTCGCCTCTACTCTGCCCTCATGCTCGCCTCTACTCTGCCCTCATGCTCGCCTCTACTCTGCCTTCATGCTCGCCTGTATTATTTTCTCATGCTCGCCTCTACTCTGCCCTCATGCTCGCCTCTACTCTGCCCTCATGCTCGCCTCTACTCTGCCCTCATGCTCGACTGTACTCTGCCCTCATGCTCGCCTCTACTCTGCCCTCATGCTCGCCTCTACTCTGCCCTAATGCTCACCTCTACTCTGCCCTCATGCTCGCCTCAACTCTGCCCTCATGCTCGCCTGTATTATTTTCTCATGCTCGCCTCTACTCTGCCCTCATGCTCGCCTCTACTCTGCCCTCATGCTCGCCTCTACTCTGCCCTCATGCTCGCCTCTACTCTGCCCTCATGCTCGCCTGTATTATTTTCTCATGCTCGCCTCTACTCTGCCCTCATGCTCGCCTCTACTCTGCCCTCATGCTCGCCTGTACTCTGCCCTCATGCTCGCCTCTACTCTGCCCTCATGCTCGCCTCAACTCTGCCCTCATGCTCGCTTGTATTATTTTCTCTTGCTCGCCTCTACTCTGCCCTCATGCTCGCCTCTACTCTGCCCTCATGCTCGCCTCTACTCTGCCCTCATGCTCGCCTGTACTCTGCCCTCATGCTCGCCTCTACTCTGCCCTCATGCTCGCCTCTACTCTGCCCTCATGCTCGACTGTACTCTGCCCTCATGCTCGCCTCTACTCTGCCCTCATGCTCGCCTCTACTCTGCCCTCATGCTCACCTCTACTCTGCCCTCATGCTCGCCTCTACTCTGCCCTCATGCTCGCCTGTATTATTTTCTCATGCTCGCCTCTACTCTGCCCTCATGCTCGCCTCTACTCTGCCCTCATGCTCGCCTCTACTCTGCCCTCATGCTCGCCTGTATTATTTTCTCATGCTCGCCTCTACTCTGCCCTCATGCTCGCCTCTACTCTGCCCTCATGCTCGCCTGTACTCTGCCCTCATGCTCGCCTCTACTCTGCCCTCATGCTCGCCTCTACTCTGCCCTCATGCTCGCCTCTACTCTGCCCTCATGCTCGTCTCTACTCTGCCCTCATGCTCGTTTCTACTCTGCCCTCATGCTCGCCTGTACTCTGCCCTCATGCTCGCCTGTACTCTGCCCTCATGCTCGCCTCTACTCTGCCCTCATGCTCGCCTGTACTCTGCCCTCATGCTCGTCTGTACTCTGCCCTCATGCTCGCCTCTACTCTGCCCTCATGCTCGCCTCTACTCTGCCCTCATGCTCGCCTCTACTCTGCCCTCATGCTCGCCTCTACTCTGCCCTCATGCTCGCCTGTATTATTTTCTCATGCTCGCCTGTACTCTGCCCTCATGCTCGCCTCTACTCTGCCCTCATGTTTGTCTCTACTCTGCCCTCATGCTCGCCTCTACTCTGCCCTCATGCTCGCCTGTACTCTGCCCTCATGCTCGCCTCTACTCTGCCCTCATGCTCGCCTCTACTCTGCCCTCATGCTCGCCTGTACTCTGCCCTCATGCTCGCCTCTACTCTGCCCTCATGCTCGCCTGTACTCTGCCCTCATGCTCGCCTCTACTCTGCCCTCATGCTCGTCTCTACTCTGCCCTCATGCTCGTCTCTACTCTGCCCTCATGCTCGCCTGTACTCTGCCCTCATGCTCGCCTGTACTCTGCCCTCATGCTCGCCTCTACTCTGCCCTCATGCACGCCTGTACTCTGCCCTCATGCTCGCCTCTACTCTGCCCTCATGCTCGCCTCTACTCTGCCCTCATGCTCGCCTCTACTCTGCCCTCATGCTCGCCTCTACTCTGCCCTCATGCTCGCCTCTACTCTGCCCTCATGCTCGCCTGTATTATTTTCTCATGCTCGCCTGTACTCTGCCCTCATGCTCGCCTCTACTCTGCCCTCATGTTTGTCTCTACTCTGCCCTCATGCTCGCCTCTACTCTGCCCTCATGCTCGCCTGTACTCTGCCCTCATGCTCGCCTCTACTCTGCCCTCATGCTCGCCTCTACTCTGCCCTCATGCTCGCCTGTACTCTGCCCTCATGCTCGCCTCTACTCTGCCCTCATGCTCGCCTGTACTCTGCCCTCATGCTCGCCTCTACTCTGCCCTCATGCTCGCCTGTACTCTGCCCTCATGCTCGCCTCAACTCTGCCCTCATGCTCGCCTCTACTCTGCCCTCATGCTCGCTTGTATTATTTTCTCTTGCTCGCCTCTACTCTGCCCTCATGCTCGCCTCTACTCTGCCCTCATGCTCGCCTCTACTCTGCCCTCATGCTCGCCTGTACTCTGCCCTCATGCTCGCCTCTACTCTGCCCTCATGCTCGCCTCTACTCTGCCCTCATGCTCGACTGTACTCTGCCCTCATGCTCGCCTCTACTCTGCCCTCATGCTCGCCTCTACTCTGCCCTCATGCTCACCTCTACTCTGCCCTCATGCTCGCCTCTACTCTGCCCTCATGCTCGCCTGTATTATTTTCTCATGCTCGCCTCTACTCTGCCCTCATGCTCGCCTCTACTCTGCCCTCATGCTCGCCTCTACTCTGCCCTCATGCTCGCCTCTACTCTGCCCTCATGCTCGCCTCTACTCTGCCCTCATGCTCGCCTGTACTCTGCCCTCATGCTCGCCTCTACTCTGCCCTCATGCTCGCCTGTACTCTGCCCTAATGCTCGCCTCTACTCTGCCCTCATGCTCGCCTGTACTCTGCCCTCATGCTCGCTTCAACTCTGCCCTCATGCTCGCCTCTACTCTGCCCTCATGCTCGCTTGTATTATTTTCTCTTGCTCGCCTCTACTCTGCCCTCATGCTCGCCTCTACTCTGCCCTCATGCTCGCCTCTACTCTGCTCTCATGCCCGCCTGTACTCTGCCCTCATGCTCGCCTCTACTCTGCCCTCATGCTCGCCTCTACTCTGCCCTCATGCTCGCCTCTACTCTGCCCTCATGCTCGCCTCTACTCTGCCCTCATGCTCGCCTCTACTCTGCCCTCATGCTCGCCTGTATTATTTTCTCATGCTCGCCTGTACTCTGCCCTCATGCTCGCCTCTACTCTGCCCTCATGTTTGTCTCTACTCTGCCCTCATGCTCGCCTCTACTCTGCCCTCATGCTCGCCTGTACTCTGCCCTCATGCTTGCCTCTACTCTGCCCTCATGCTCGCCTCTACTCTGCCCTCATGCTCGCCTGTACTCTGCCCTCATGCTCGCCTCTACTCTGCCCTCATGCTCGCCTGTACTCTGCCCTCATGCTCGCCTCTACTCTGCCCTCATGCTCGCCTGTACTCTGCCCTCATGCTCGCCTCTACTCTGCCCTCATGCTTGCCTCTACTCTGCCCTCATGCTCGCCTGTACTCTGCCCTCATGCTCGCCTCTGCTCTGCCCTCATGCTCGCCTCTACTCTGCCCTCATGCTCGCCTCTACTCTGCCCTCATGCTCGCTTGTAATATTTTCTCATGCTCGCCTCTACTCTGCCCTCATGCTCGCCTCTACTCTGCCCTCATGCTCGCCTCTACTCTGCCCTCATGCTCGCCTCTACTCTGCCCTCATGCTCGCCTCTACTCTGCCCTCATGCTCGCCTGTACTCTACCCTCATGCTCGCCTGTACTCTGCCCTCATGCTCGCCTCTACTCTGCCCTCATGCTCGCCTCTACTCTGCCCTCATGCTCGCCTCTACTCTGCCCTCATGCTCGCCTCTACTCTGCCCTCATGCTCGCCTCTACTCTGCCCTCATGCTCGCCTCATGCTCGCCTCTACTCTGCCCTCATGCTCGCGTGTACTCTGCCCTCATGCTCGCCTCTACTCTGCCCTCATGCTCGCCTGTACTCTACCCTCATGCTCGCCTCTACTCTGCCCTCATGCTCGCCTGTACTCTGCCCTCATTCTCGCCTCTACTCTGCCCTCATGCTCGCCTCTACTCTGCCCTCATGCTCGCCTGTACTCTGCCCTCATGCTCGCCTCTACTCTGCCCTCATGCTCGCCTGTACTCTGCCCTCATGCTCGCCTCTACTCTGCCCTCATGCTCGCCTCTACTCTGCCCTCATGCTCGCCTCTACTCTGCCCTCATGCTCGCCTCTACTCTGCCCTCATGCTCGCCTGTACTCTGCCCTCATGCTCGCCTCTACTCTGCCCTCATGCTCGCCTCTACTCTGCCCTCATGCTCGCCTCTACTCTGCCCTCATGCTCGCCTCTACTCTGCCCTCATGCTCGCCTCTACTCTGCCCTCATGCTCGCCTGTATTATTTTCTCATGCTCGCCTGTACTCTGCCCTCATGCTCGCCTCTACTCTGCCCTCATGTTTGTCTCTACTCTGCCCTCATGCTCGCCTCTACTCTGCCCTCATGCTCGCCTGTACTCTGCCCTCATGCTCGCCTCTACTCTGCCCTCATGCTCGCCTCTACTCTGCCCTCATGCTCGCCTGTACTCTGCCCTCATGCTCGCCTCTACTCTGCCCTCATGCTCGCCTGTACTCTGCCCTCATGCTCGCCTCTACTCTGCCCTCATGCTCGCCTCTACTCTGCCCTCATGCTCGCCTGTACTCTGCCCTCATGCTCGCCTCTACTCTGCCCTCATGCTCGCCTCTACTCTGCCCTCATGCTCGCCTGTACTCTGCCCTCATGCTCGCCTCTACTCTGCCCTCATGCTCGCCTCTACTCTGCCCTCATGCTCGCCTGTACTCTGCCCTCATGCTCGCCTCTACTCTGCCCTCATGCTCGCCTCTACTCTGCCCTCATGCTCGCCTGTACTCTGCCCTCATGCTCGCCTCTACTCTGCCCTCATGCTCGCCTCTACTCTGCCCTCATGCTCGCCTCTACTCTGCCCTCATGCTCGCTTGTATTATTTTCTCATGCTCGCCTCTACTCTGCCCTCATGCTCGCCTCTACTCTGCCCTCATGCTCGCCTCTACTCTGCCCTCATGCTCGCCTCTACTCTGCCCTCATGCTCGCCTCTACTCTGCCCTCATGCTCGCCTGTACTCTACCCTCATGCTCGCCTGTACTCTGCCCTCATGCTCGCCTCTACTCTGCCCTCATGCTCGCCTCTACTCTGCCCTCATGCTCGCCTCTACTCTGCCCTCATGCTCGCCTCTACTCTGCCCTCATGCTCGCCTCTACTCTGCCCTCATGCTCGCCTCATGCTCGCCTCTACTCTGCCCTCATGCTCGCGTGTACTCTGCCCTCATGCTCGCCTCTACTCTGCCCTCATGCTCGCCTGTACTCTACCCTCATGCTCGCCTCTACTCTGCCCTCATGCTCGCCTGTACTCTGCCCTCATGCTCGCCTCTACTCTGCCCTCATGCTCGCCTCTACTCTGCCCTCATGCTCGCCTGTACTCTGCCCTCATGCTCGCCTCTACTCTGCCCTCATGCTCGCCTCTACTCTGCCCTCATGCTCGCCTCTACTCTGCCCTCATGCTCGCCTGTACTCTGCCCTCATGCTCGCCTCTACTCTGCCCTCATGCTCGCCTCTACTCTGCCCTCATGCTCGCCTGTACTCTGCCCTCATGCTCGCCTCTACTCTGCCCTCATGCTCGCCTCTACTCTGCCCTCATGCTCGCCTCTACTCTGCCCTCATGCTCGCTTGTATTATTTTCTCATGCTCGCCTCTACTCTGCCCTCATGCTCGCCTCTACTCTGCCCTCATGCTCGCCTCTACTCTGCCCTCATGCTCGCCTCTACTCTGCCCTCATGCTCGCCTCTACTCTGCCCTCATGCTCGCCTGTACTCTACCCTCATGCTCGCCTGTACTCTGCCCTCATGCTCGCCTCTACTCTGCCCTCATGCTCGCCTCTACTCTGCCCTCATGCTCGCCTCTACTCTGCCCTCATGCTCGCCTCTACTCTGCCCTCATGCTCGCCTCTACTCTGCCCTCATGCTCGCCTCATGCTCGCCTCTACTCTGCCCTCATGCTCGCGTGTACTCTGCCCTCATGCTCGCCTCTACTCTGCCCTCATGCTCGCCTGTACTCTACCCTCATGCTCGCCTCTACTCTGCCCTCATGCTCGCCTCTACTCTGCCCTCATGCTCGCCTGTACTCTGCCCTCATGCTCGCCTCTACTCTGCCCTCATGCTCGCCTCTACTCTGCCCTCATGCTCGCCTGTACTCTGCCCTCATGCTCGCCTCTACTCTGCCCTCATGCTCGCCTCTACTCTGCCCTCATGCTCGCTTGTATTATTTTCTCATGCTCGCCTCTACTCTGCCCTCATGCTCACCTCTCCTCTGCCCTCATGCTCGCCTCTGCTCTGCCCTCATGCTCGCCTGTACTCTGCCCTCATGCTCGCCTCTACTCTGCCCTCATGCTCGCCTCTACTCTGCCCTCATGCTCGCCTGTACTCTGCCCTCATGCTCGCCTCTACTCTGCCGTCATGCTCGCCTCTACTCTGCCCTCATGCTCGCCTGTACTCTGCCCTCATGCTCGCCTGTACTCTGCCCTCATCCTCGCCTCTACTCTGCCCTCATGCTCGCCTGTACTCTGCCCTCATGCTCGCCTCTACTCTGCCCTCATGCTCGCCTCTACTCTGCCCTCATGCTCGCCTGTACTCTGCCCTCATGCTCGCCTCTACTCTGCCCTCATGCTCGCCTCTACTCTGCCCTCATGCTCGCTTGTATTATTTTCTCATGCTCGCCTCTACTCTGCCCTCATGCTCGCCTCTACTCTGCCCTCATGCTCGCCTCTACTCTGCCCTCATGCTCGCCTCTACTCTGCCCTCATGCTCGCCTCTACTCTGCCCTCATGCTCGCCTGTACTCTACCCTCATGCTCGCCTGTACTCTGCCCTCATGCTCGCCTGTACTCTGCCCGCATGCTCGCCTCTACTCTGCCCTCATGCTCGCCTCTACTCTGCCCTCATGCTCGCCTCTACTCTGCGGCGCTCGCCTGTACTCTGCCCTCATGCTCGCCTCTACTCTGCCCTCATGCTCGCCTCTACTCTGCCCTCATGCTCGCCTCATGCTCGCCTCTACTCTGCCCTCATGCTCGCGTGTACTCTGCCCTCATGCTCGCCTCTACTCTGCCCTCATGCTCGCCTGTACTCTACCCTCATGCTCGCCTCTACTCTGCCCTCATGCTCGCCTCTACTCTGCCCTCATGCTCGCCTGTACTCTGCCCTCATGCTCGCCTCTACTCTGCCCTCATGCTCGCCTCTACTCTGCCCTCATGCTCGCCTGTACTCTGCCCTCATGCTCGCCTCTACTCTGCCCTCATGCTCGCCTCTACTCTGCCCTCATGCTCGCTTGTATTATTTTCTCATGCTCGCCTCTACTCTGCCTTCATGCTCGCCTCTCCTCTGCCCTCATGCTCGCCTCTGCTCTGCCCTCATGCTCGCCTGTACTCTGCCCTCATGCTCGCCTCTACTCTGCCCTCATGCTCGCCTCTACTCTGCCCTCATGCTCGCCTCTACTCTGCCCTCATGCTCGCCTCTACTCTGCCCTCATGCTCGCCTCTACTCTGCCCTCATGCTCGCCTGTACTCTGCCCTCATGCTCGCCTGTACTCTGCCCTCATCCTCGCCTCTACTCTGCCCTCATGCTCGCCTGTACTCTGCCCTCATGCTCGCCTCTACTCTGCCCTCATGCTCGCCTCTACTCTGCCCTCATGCTCGCCTGTACTCTGCCCTCATGCTCGCCTCTACTCTGCCCTCATGCTCGCCTCTACTCTGCCCTCATGCTCGCTTGTATTATTTTCTCATGCTCGCCTCTACTCTGCCCTCATGCTCGCCTCTACTCTGCCCTCATGCTCGCCTCTACTCTGCCCTCATGCTCGCCTCTACTCTGCCCTCATGCTCGCCTCTACTCTGCCCTCATGCTCGCCTGTACTCTACCCTCATGCTCGCCTGTACTCTGCCCTCATGCTCGCCTGTACTCTGCCCTCATGCTCGCCTGTACTCTGCCCTCATGCTCGCCTCTACTCTGCCCTCATGCTCGCCTCTACTCTGCCCTCATGCTCGCCTCTACTCTGCCCTCATGCTCGCCTCTACTCTGCCCTCATGCTCGCCTCTACTCTGCCCTCATGCTCGCCTCTACTCTGCCCTCATGCTCGCCTCTACTCTGCCCTCATGCTCGCCTCTACTCTGCCCTCATGCTCGCCTCTACTCTGCCCTCATGCTCGCTTCTACTCTGCCCTCATGCTCGCCTCTACTCTGCCCTCATGCTCGCCTCTACTCTGCCCCCATGCTCGCCTCTACTCTGCCCTCATGCTCGCCTCTACTCTGCCCTCATGCTCGCCTCTACTCTGCCCCCATGCTCGCCTCTACTCTGCCCTCATGCTCGCCTGTACTCTGCCCTCATGCTCGCCTCTACTCTGCCCTCATGCTCGCCTCTACTCTGCCCTCATGCTCGCCTGTACTCTGCCCTCATGCTCGCCTCTACTCTGCCCTCATGCTCGCCTCTACTCTGCCCTCATGCTCGCCTCTACTCTGCCCTCATGCTCGCCTCTACTCTGCCCTCATGCTCGCCTCTACTCTGCCTTCATGCTCGCCTGTATTATTTTCTCATGCTCGCCTCTACTCTGCCCTCATGCTCGCCTCTACTCTGCCCTCATGCTCGCCTCTACTCTGCCCTCATGCTCGCCTCTACTCTGCCCTCATGCTCGCCTCTACTCTGCCCTCATGCTCGCCTCTACTCTGCCCTCATGCTCGCCTCTACTCTGCCCTCATGCTCGCCTCTACTCTGCCCTCATGCTCGCCTCTACTCTGCCCTCATGCTCGCCTCTACTCTGCCCTCATGCTCGCCTCTACTCTGCCCTCATGCTCGCCTCTACTCTGCCCTCATGCTCGCCTCTACTCTGCCCTCATGCTCGCCTCTACTCTGCCCTCATGCTCGCCTCTACTCTGCCCTCATGCTCGCCTCTACTCTGCCCTCATGCTCGCTTCTACTCTGCCCTCATGCTCGCCTCTACTCTGCCCTCATGCTCGCCTCTACTCTGCCCCCATGCTGGCCTCTACTCTGCCCCCATGCTCGCCTATACTCTGCCCTCATGCTCGCTTCTACTCTGCCCCCATGCTCGCCTCTACTCTGCCCTCATGCTCGCCTGTACTCTGCCCTCATGCTCGCCTCTACTCTGCCCTCATGCTCGCCTCTACTCTGCCCTCATGCTCGCCTGTACTCTGCCCTCATGCTCGCCTCTACTCTGCCCTCATGCTCGCCTCTACTCTGCCCTCATGCTCGCCTCTACTCTGCCCTCATGCTCGCCTCTACTCTGCCCTCATGCTCGCCTCTACTCTGCCTTCATGCTCGCCTGTATTATTTTCTCATGCTCGCCTCTACTCTGCCCTCATGCTCGCCTCTACTCTGCCCTCATGCTCGCCTCTACTCTGCCCTCATGCTCGCCTCTACTCTGCCCTCATGCTCGCCTCTACTCTGCCCTCATGCTCGCCTCTACTCTGCCTTCATGCTCGCCTGTATTATTTTCTCATGCTCGCCTCTACTCTGCCCTCATGCTCGCCTGTACTCTGCCCTCATGCTCGCCTCTACTCTGCCCTCATGCTCGCCTCTACTCTGCCCTCATGCTCGCCTCTACTCTGCCCTTATGCTCGCCTCTACTCTGCCCTCATGCTCGCCTCTACTCTGCCCTCATGCTCGCCTCTACTCTGCCCTCATGCTCGCCTGTACTCTGCCCTCATGCTCGCCTCTACTCTGCCCTCATGCTCGCCTCTACTCTGCCCTCATGCTCGCCTCTACTCTGCCCTCATGCTCGCCTCTACTCTGCCCTCATGCTCGCCTCTACTCTGCCCTCATGCTCGCCTCTACTCTGCCCTCATGCTCGCCTCTACTCTGCCCTCATGCTCGCCTCTACTCTGCCATCGTGCTCGCCTCTACTCTGCCCTCATGCTCGCCTGTACTCTGCCCTCATGCTCGCCTCTACTCTGCCCTCATGCTCGCCTCTACTCTGCCCTCATGCTCGCCTGTACTCTGCCCTCATGCTCGCCTCTACTCTGCCCTCATGCTCGTCTCTACTCTGCCCTCATGCTCGCCTCTACTCTGCCCTCATGCTCGCCTCTACTCTGCCCTCATGCTCGTCTCTACTCTGCCCTCATGCTCGCCTCTACTCTGCCCCCATGCTCGCCTCTACTCTGCCCTCATGCTCGCTTCTACTCTGCCCTCATGCTCGCCTCTTCTCTGCCCTCATGCTCGCCTGTACTCTGCCCTCATGCTCGCCTCTACTCTGCCCTCATGCTCGCCTCTATTCTGCCCTCATGCTCGCCTCTACTCTGCCCTCATGCTCGCCTCTACTCTGCCCCCATGCTCGCCTCTACTCTGCCCTCATGCTCGCTTCTACTCTGCCCTCATGCTCGCCTCTTCTCTGCCCTCATGCTCGCCTGTACTCTGCCCTCATGCTCGCCTCTACTCTGCCCTCATGCTCGCCTCTATTCTGCCCTCATGCTCGCCTGTACTCTGCCCTCATGCTCGCCTCTACTCTGCCCTCATGCTCGTCTCTACTCTGCCCTCATGCTCGCCTCTACTCTGCCCTCATGCTCGCCTCTACTCTGCCCTCATGCTCGCCTCTACTCTGCCCTCATGCTCGCCTCTACTCTGCCCTCATGCTCGCCTCTACTCTGCCCTCATGCTCGCCTCTACTCTGCCCTCATGCTCGCCTCTACTCTGCCCTCATGCTCGCCTCTATTCTGCCCTCATGCTCGCCTGTACTCTGCCCTCATGCTCGCCTCTACTCTGCCCTCATGCTCGCCTCTATTATTTTCTCATGCTCGCCTCTACTCTGCCCTCATGCTCGCCTCTACTCTGCCCTCATGCTCGCCTCTACTCTGCCCTCATGCTCGCCTCTACTCTGCCTTCATGCTCGCCTGTATTATTTTCTCATGCTCGCCTCTACTCTGCCCTCATGCTCGCCTCTACTCTGCCCTCATGCTCGCCTCTACTCTGCCCTCATGCTCGCCTCTACTCTGCCTTCATGCTCGCCTGTATTATTTTCTCATGCTCGCCTCTACTCTGCCCTCATGCTCGCCTGTACTCTGCCCTCATGCTCGCCTCTACTCTGCCCTCATGCTCGCCTCTACTCTGCCCTCATGCTCGCCTCTACTCTGCCCTTATGCTCGCCTCTACTCTGCCCTCATGCTCGCCTCTACTCTGCCCTCATGCTCGCCTCTACTCTGCCCTCATGCTCGCCTCTACTCTGCCCTCATGCTCGCCTCTACTCTGCCCTCATGCTCGCCTCTACTCTGCCCTCATGCTCGCCTCTACTCTGCCCTCATGCTCGCCTCTACTCTGCCCTCATGCTCGCCTCTACTCTGCCCTCATGCTCGCCTCTACTCTGCCCTCATGCTCGCCTCTACTCTGCCCTCATGCTCGCCTCTACTCTGCCCTCATGCTCGCCTCTACTCTGCCATCGTGCTCGCCTCTACTCTGCCCTCATGCTCGCCTGTACTCTGCCCTCATGCTCGCCTCTACTCTGCCCTCATGCTCGCCTCTACTCTGCCCTCATGCTCGCCTGTACTCTGCCCTCATGCTCGCCTCTACTCTGCCCTCATGCTCGTCTCTACTCTGCCCTCATGCTCGCCTCTACTCTGCCCTCATGCTCGCCTCTACTCTGCCCTCATGCTCGTCTCTACTCTGCCCTCATGCTCGCCTCTACTCTGCCCCCATGCTCGCCTCTACTCTGCCCTCATGCTCGCTTCTACTCTGCCCTCATGCTCGCCTCTTCTCTGCCCTCATGCTCGCCTGTACTCTGCCCTCATGCTCGCCTCTACTCTGCCCTCATGCTCGCCTCTATTCTGCCCTCATGCTCGCCTGTACTCTGCCCTCATGCTCGCCTCTACTCTGCCCTCATGCTCGTCTCTACTCTGCCCTCATGCTCGCCTCTACTCTGCCCTCATGCTTGCCTCTACTCTGCCCTCATGCTCGCCTCTACTCTGCCCTCATGCTCGCCTCTACTCTGCCCTCATGCTCGCCTCTACTCTGCCCTCATGCTCGCCTCTACTCTGCCCTCATGCTCGCCTCTACTCTGCCCTCATGCTCGCCTCTATTCTGCCCTCATGCTCGCCTGTACTCTGCCCTCATGCTCGCCTCTACTCTGCCCTCATGCTCGCCTCTATTATTTTCTCATGCTCGCCTCTACTCTGCCCTCATGCTCGCCTCTACTCTGCCCTCATGCTCGCCTCTACTCTGCCCTCATGCTCGCCTCTACTCTGCCTTCATGCTCGCCTGTATTATTTTCTCATGCTCGCCTCTACTCTGCCCTCATGCTCGCCTCTACTCTGCCCTCATGCTCGCCTCTACTCTGCCCTCATGCTCGCCTCTACTCTGCCCTCATGCTCGCCTCTACTCTGCCCTCATGCTCGCCTCTACTCTGCCCTCATGCTCGCCTCTACTCTGCCCTCATGCTCGCCTCTACTTTGCCCTCATGCTCGCCTCTACTCTGCCCTCATGCTCACCTCTACTCTGCCCTCATGCTCGCCTCTACTCTGCCCTCATGCTCGCTTCTACTCTGCCCTCATGCTCGCCTCTACTCTGCCCTCATGCTTGCCTCTACTCTGCCATCGTGCTCGCCTCTACTCTGCCCTCATGCTCGCCTCTACTCTGCCCTCATGCTCGCCTCCACTCTTTTCTCATGCTCCACGCATCTACACCCTTAGTCCCTCACACCTCTAGTCTGGAATTTTTCTGTGCGCAGAGAAGTGGGAGGGGCTGGATGTGTGCGAGCAATTCTCGCTGCAGCAGATGCTAAGGGCCACCAACAACTGGTCGGAGGACAATGTGCTGGGCAAGGGTGGATTTGGCATTGTATACAAAGGCCGCTCTCCACAGGGCCAGCTGTGGGCCATCAAGCGATCCACCATCATGACCAACGACTTCGAAACGGAGGTGAGGACAAAAAAATCAGTACTTGTCAGAACACATGCACTGTGAATCCTCGATTGATCCCAGGGAAGGTTTACAAGCACTCTTGCATGGGGTTTATGGATGCACTCACCCGCTCCTTAACAACCATTCCATCCTAGTTGTGCAGTAGCTTAATCCTGACGTGATAACAGAGCAAAGGTTTCCGATTCGAAACTTCATATGCGCACATACTGGCGCCCATGTGTTGTTGCCACTGTACCGTGTCCTAAGTCATCCCAGTGAGGGGTGAGGGGTTGGGGGGGGGGTGCCAGTAGACGTGCACTGGGGATCCCCCGATTGATACTGAGAAATGGCTACAAGCACGCTTGCCTAGGGGATAATGGACGCGCTCACTACTTTAAAAAGCGATTTTATCCCAGTGGTGTAGTGACTTAGATTCTAGGAATATTTTTTGTTGCTCAGAATGCTAACATTCTAATTCGGGGCCACATTGTGTTCTTCAAATTGCTGACCTCCAGCTTAAATCCATGCACATCCCCCTGCATTGTGATCCATGTTCATGTGACAGCTGCTGACCTGCGAACTGAATGCCCGCCATTCCATGGCCATGTGCGTCATTGCCTGTCTTGTGTTCTCACTACAGGTGCGAGCCATGGCCTCTCTCCACCACACACACCTCGTGCGCCTGCTGGGCTTTTGCCTGGACCAGAACGTGGAGACAGGCAAGCAGGAGCAGATCCTCGTGTACGATTTCATAGGCAACAGGGACATGGATTACCATATCCACAGGACCAAGCGTGAGTTTGCACTATGGTTGCCACGCGCCTTTTGTTTACATTATTATTAATTTTCTTGCACAGCATGACACCATCACTCACAAACCTATCATCCATATGTTGTTTGTTTTTCTCACTACATGGTATACTCGTTGCATGGCCCAGGTCCGCTGTCTCTACGCCAGAGGCTGCGCCTGGCACTGGGAGCAGCAGAGGGCTTGGCGTACCTGCACGGGTTTGACACGCCCATCGTTCACCGCGACATCAAGCCCGCCAACATTCTTGTGACTGAAGACATGCAAGCCAAGGTGGCTGACTTTGGGCTGCTCAAGCGCCTCACTCACGGCGATGCTGATGCCACGCGAGTTGCTGGCACTCCGGGCTATGTGGATCCGGATTACAACCGCACCAATGTCATCACAGCCAAGAGTGACGTGTTCAGGTCAGTATGCTTGTTCCTTTCCACAACACGTTACACTTCTGCGCCCCTGTTTCTCTTAATATCCAGGTTATGCTAAATACATGTACCCTGTACCTCTCTCTCTTTTTTTCTCCATCTTTTTCCCTCTTATATTAAATGCATGATTGCTTGCAGCTTTGGAGTCGTGCTTCTTGAGCTGCTGAGTGGAAAGTCGCCCCAAGTCAACACAAGAACGCACATATGCAAATGGGTAAGTGTGTTATCCAAGATTTGAGTTTGCTAAAAAACAAATAAAAATAGTGCATTTAAGATAATGTTAATGTCCATCGAATCTCAAATGGATCTAATGGCCACTCATTTATCCGTAATTCACTTTTGTGCTACCACTCATTTGTACAGTAATGTTTTTGTCATCTTGCTGCCTTCCACCGTCTTCCATACTTAGCATGCTGCTTTCCATCACCCTTTCTTTTATAAACCCCTTCCAGGCTATGAAGCTGGTGGAGACATATGAGCTAGAAGAGCTGAGGGACAGCAAGATGCCGGCGGCAAGTGAAGAGGCTATAGTGGAACTTGCAGACCTGGCTCTGGACTGCATCAAGTCTCCCGGCACACGGCGACCCACTATGAAGGATGTGGCATACCGCCTCAGTGCCCTCATTGCCAAGCACTGCCCCGACAAGGAGGACAAGTGGGAGAGTGTCACAAAAGAAGAGAGTGAAGGCAACGAGGGTAGTTCATCTAGGGATGCTTCTGCTGTGTCATTTGGAGACAGTGGGAGGGAGGCTGAGAGGCCGCATGGTTCACAGTCAGGCGTGAGTTCATTTGTGCGCGTTGGCTCTATAAGTGATGGCCTCAAGAGCTGGCTGCACTCGAAGCCAACCAAAGGGCGTTAAAAATGCCCATAATGACGGTACCCATGTGTATTTGGCATGAATGTTTACTGTAATTCCCCGGGTATAACACCCTAGCGTGATATAAACTCTACAAATAAAGGCGTCACTTTTCAACGGGTACAAAATATGAAGGACCCGAGTTGCTTCGCATGAAAATATTGTGCAAAGTTATAACAAACAACGTGGCAGGTTTTATCCACGATCTTGTTGAACATACTTGCATTCCCAGGACATAGGACATAAAGCATCCGACACTGATTTGGAAAATGCATTGTTATATTGTATAATTAATGGTTTTTTTTTAGCTGAATTATTTTGCTAGCAGACATTTGGTATGACATGGCTGCATTGAATCTATCTTCACCAACCTTGCGAAATATGCCATAACGAAAGTCCCGCTTCGATTCAACCAGAATAAGGGCGTGGAACCGGTTCGGAATTTATGGTTTCAGCAAAATTGTATTACGCCACACTGGTTCAGTTATGGAACATGAACTGGTCAAAAACAAATGAGATTGAAGCTTAAATTTCAGCAGTCAACGCCAACAACCAAGTCGCACCGATTCTTTTGCGACTTATGAAATTGCGACCGACACCCCTGTCGCGTCCGAGTGGGGATGCACATGCCAGCTGCTTGGGCCTTCAAGTAGAAACCGGAACCCGGTGGGAATTTTGTGTTGATGTTCCGAGACTCGGTTGCAGTTTCGTGGTGATCCTTGCGACAAGGGATGTGCGGTTATACCATCGGGGAGATTTCGCGATACGATAACCAATCGGAGTGTGTGACGAGAAGTGAGAATGGAATGGATGAACTATGAAACAGTTTGGTACAAGTACTAACCCTAATTGGGTTGTACCCCTTATGGGCTACCCCACTACAGCCTACACAAATGTATAAGCTATAATGTTCTGACACACCCCCATAGGCAAAGTGGAGGAGAACAAGTGGTCACAAGACCAGTCAAGCAAAGCAAAGCAAGCTCAGGGTGGATCACAAAGTCACCACACAGTCCGAGCACAAGAGTAAGGCCACAAGGCCAGTTCACATGCAAGGTCATATATATAAAGCTAAAACAAGCAAGGGCAGGTATAGAAAGAAGACAGTACAAACAAGATCAAGAAGTGAGCAAGTGAGGCCAGGTAGGCACAAGACCTAGCACAGTACAGAAGCGCTGATGATCACAAGGCGGAAGGGCCTTGGTAAAGATATCAGCAGTGTTGGCCTCAGAGGCCACGTAAGCAAGGCGGATCTGACCACGCTGCTGCAGCTCACGAGACAGGAAGTAGCGGAGAGCAATGTGCTTCGTTCTGTGCTCCAGTCTGTGCTCCCGACACAAGGCCAGCATGGCCTTGTTGTCTACGTACAAAACTGGAGGAGTACGAGGCGGCTCTCCTAGGTCAGTCAGCAGGTAGGTGAGCCAGCGTAGCTCCTGTGCAGTCATGGCCCCTGCGTAGATCTCAGCCTCACAGCTGGAGCCGAGAACAGAGGATGAGCGGGTAGACCGCCACGAAACAGAGCCGGAGCCAAGGCTGAAGGTGTAACCCTGTGACGACCGCTGCGTAGCCTGGTCGTCAGCCCAAGAAGCGTCAGCGTGACCTGTGAGGACTACTCGACGTCGCCCTCCAAGCACTAGCCCCATGCCCGACGTACTGCACACGTAGCGCAACACCCTCTTCGCTGCAGCCATGTGCTCTGGTCGGTGTCTCCCAGGAGCAACATAGCGTGCCAAGATGCTAAGAGGGTATGCAAGGTCAGATCGTGTGCAGGTCATCAGGTACATGAGGCAGCCAACAAGCTCTGGGTACGGGCCACTCGACTCTACGAACTCATCCGAAGGCAGAGCTGAGAGCGAGTGGCGAGTAGACAGAGGAGTGGCCTGAGGCGAGGAGTACGTGAAGCCGAAGCGCTGAAGGACCTGCTGCACCATGTGTGATTGAGACAGGGTAATGGTGCGCTGTGCTCTGTCCCGGGTGATCTGCAAGCCAAGGTAGCTGCGCAGTTCATCCAGGTCTATGCACGTGTGTCTCTTCTGCAGCTCGGACTTCACGTGGGCGAGTCCAGCAGTGTCAGCAGTGGCAAAGACCAGGTCGTCGACGTACACGAGGATGTAGAACGGCGGCAAAGAGGTGTCGGTGCGAAGAAACAGCGACGGGTCGGCTGTAGAAGGAGCAAACCCAAGAGCCGCAAGTGTAGTCCTCAGTGTGTCGTGCCACTCGCGCGGTGCCTGGCGGAGACCGTAGACTGGCCGCCGGAGGCTCCAGTGGGTCCCAGGAGGAAACGACCCAGTGAAGCCAGGAGGGCGGCGCAGCCAGATCTCCTCGTGCAGGCTGCCCTGCAGGAAAGCTGTGCTGAAGTCAAGAGAGTGAAGCTCGTAGTCGCACTGAGCGGCTATGTGCAGTAGCACCCGAAGAGTGGTCATCTTCGGGGTGGGAGAGAAGGTCTAAAAGTAGTCAACTCCCTCTCGCTGACTGAAGCCTTGAGCCACGTAACGCGCCTTGAAGACAGGCGGGGAGCCCGGCGGCCGCTTCACCCTGAAGATCCATATCCCACTGATGATGTTCGCCCCAGGTGGGGGAACCTCGTCGACGTAGGTGCCTGTGGACTTCCAGGAAGCTATCTCTGCGTCCATGGCCGATTGCCACTGAGAGGAGTAGAAACCCTTGATCGCCTCAGCGTACGATCGAGGAGTCGGGATGTCTGGTGCATCCGGGTCTCCCTCAGGGGCAATCAGCGTGGACACGAGATGGGGCAAAGCAGCCGCAAAGCACTGGAACTCCTCCTGCCTATCCTCAAGGACGTCCGTGCTAAGAGCACACTCACCCCCGACGGACGGAGGACAGACAGACTCAGACTCAGCAACAAGAGTGGCAGCGTAGTCTAGACGACAGCGAGCAGTGAAGTCGACCAGCTCAGCAACGAGAGCAGACGCAGCAGCAGACTCAAAGGAAGGGTCAGTGAGGACAGTAGCAAGAAGGCGCGTGACTGAAGGACTAGCAGCACGAAGGGAGTCAGACTCCGGGTCAGCAAGAGAAGGAAGAAAGGACTCTGGAGGAGACGGCAACAGGACACGCAGAGGAGCAGTGGAAGGACGCAGTGCCATCTGGTGTGTGCCGGGGACTGCAGGAGGACGCGGACGTGCAGTACGACCACTAGTGCGAGCAGCACGAACAGGTGACGCGGGACGAGACGCAGGCTCACGACGCTCTGCAAGACCTCCAGTAGGACCAGCATAGGGAGAAGGAGCAGGTAGAGGGGAGGCGGGCGGTAACTGTGACTGCGACTGGACAGGCGGTGGACACTCTAGGGGAGGAGCAGGACCAGTAGAGGGTGGGAGACCAAGAACCTGCTCCAGGAGCGGAACGAAGTACGGTCTCGGCCGCGCAGCGCCTCTATAACCAGCAAGTACGGCACCAGTACCCCCACCGGCAGCACCAGCGCCAGCAGAACCTCCAGCTCCAACAGCGCCAACTCCAGTACCCTCAGAAGCACCAGCGCCAGCAGCACCGCCAGCGCCGACACCCTCCAGCAGCTCTAGCTCCAGCAGCACCAACTCCCGTAGGACCATCAGCACCAGCTGCCTCAGCAACACCCCCAGACGCACCAGCACCAGTAGAAACACCAGCGCCAACACCCCCAGACTCAGCAGCACGTCTCCAGCGGCGGGCGAACCACACGCGCAGCTCCTGTGGAGAGAGCGGCTCCCGCCTCGACGAAGTTCCGCCGGGGGCCACACGAGCAGACCCAGCACCCCCAGGCTCCGCACCCCCAAACTCAGCACCCCCAGGCTCAGCACCCCCAGGCTCAGTACCTCCAGTCTCAGCACCCCCAGACTCAGCACCCCCATACCCGGCACCCGCAGACCCGGCACCCGCAGGCTCAGCACCTCTAGCAGCACCAGAGTCTACAACTTCCTCAACAGGGTCAACTGCGTCTACCTGGGACACACACGAAGGGGCAGGACCTTGAGGAGGGAGGGGGTCTACCTGAGTAGCACCTGGCACAAGGAAGAGCGGCGGCGGGGGGAGGGGCGCAGTGCGGTAGGGGAAGAGAAGGTAGTAAGGCACCGACTCGTCAAAGGTGACGTCCTGGGAGGACAGAACACGGCGCGTGGTGGGGTGGTAAAACTGCCAGCTAGGCGCGTCAGGGGGGAAGCCAAGGAAGACGCAAGGAACAGCACGCGGGGACAGCTTGTCCGCAGACAAGTCGCGGACAAACGCCCGAGATCCCCAAACCCGAAACGCAGACGCATCGCCAACCTTCCCTGTCCAACGCAAGGCGGGGGAGGTCTCTGGCAAGGAGACCCGGGGCTGAAGGTTGAGCTGATGCGCGGCGTACTGAACCGCAAACGGCCACAGAAAATGGGGGGCAGCCGCATGCATCATGGACGTACGCGCGACGTCCATGACCATGCCAATGCGGCGCTCAGCAATCCCATTTCGCTGTGGAGAGGCCGGAAGCGTGAAGGTCTGGCGGATGCCCTGTGCCCGACAGAAGGCTCCCAGACGGGCAGAGGAAAACTCCCCTCCTCTGTCCGAGTGCAGACGCAAAACAGGAAAGTCCGAGCCAAAACTCTCTCTGAGCTGGAGACGAGCTGCGCGGATCCAGTCGATCAACACCTCAGTGACGTCACCCTTGCTGCGCAAGGGGAAGACTGTGGTGTAACACGAGTAGTTGTCAACGATCAGCAGAAAGTACCGCTCTCTCCCCTGCCCAATGACGCGGGCTGGGCCCCACACGTCCATGTGTAAAGTCTGCAGCGGAGCCTCTGTCGGAGGAAACTCGGAGGAGTGAGGGGCGGCGCGCTGTCGCCCCTTGACGCAGGGGACGTAGGTAGGGCCAGGCCTCGGAGGAAGGGGAGGGAGAGACCGAGGAAGACCAGAGACAAGGACACGGGAGGCCATGCCTCGGAGACGAGGCAAGGAGGGGTGACCAAGGCGGTGGTGCCAAAGGAGAGTCTGGTGGGACAGCAGACGACACGAGCAGGGGGTAGACTCAGGAC